TAGAAAGATGACATTTTGGCTCTGTGTTATTTTGTTGTCTTATTCAATTCTTCATAACTCTCCTCTCATCATCTTGTAATATTTCTTAGTTAGTTCATTAGCATGTAGTATGGTGGGGACCAATTGTATCCATTATTGTATGCTACTAGTAATATTTTGTTGCTTTGGCCAACATATAAAATCATGAATGGGATGTGCTGCTTATTTACCATCAAGCCACAAGACTCAAAACCATGATTTGTCACACTTGAATGCCACCACTTATTGATTGATGTTGTGTTCTAGCTATGAATCATCAAGCTTGTCTTCTTCCTTACTGCCTTCTATCTAATTCTCATTCACCACTGCACTCACATGAACTATAGAGTCTGCCATTTGACAGACATGAACTTTGTCTCTACAACTTGAAGGTATGGTATGACTCTAGCTGACAAGGCCAATCTTACCAATTTGCCTCAAACGGTTCAAAGCCTAACTGACACATTGATGGGGATATTTCAAATGGTTTTTCAAGTGCATTGCATATATTACCTGGGGGCAAAATTTTACACCTCAGTATGAAACACATACAACTTTCATTCATCAAATTTGTTAGTGGTTACCAATTAGGTCTTGCTGTTGATTGGGATACTGAGCTCATGCTCTTTCATCCATGCAATATCATTGAGGTAATAATACAGAAATGTATCATAAACTAAACTGTAATGTATACATATATTTCAATGGCTACTGGCTTCTTCAATCTGCCATCTTTATTGCTTCTGGATATCAATTATTTCTAGGAATATATTGTATTTGGCATCTAATATTTTCCCAACTGTCAATGATGCCCCAGAGGCCACGAGGGTACCAGCAGGTGTCATCCTGAATGGCAAAAATCAGCATCTACACTCAGTAGAATGCACAGGACATCTTACTATGATCTTCCATATGTCTTCTCTGTCCTTAGCACCCTTCACTGCAATCCTTCCCAGCATCGCTGCACCAAGAACCAACACCTCAGAATATGACTTGGGCAAGATGATGGGGAAGCTACATGAACCAACATGCATACACTTTGCCTCTTGCTTTGCACATTCTTTGAGTTTGGGATATGTGGTGTGAGTGGTGATGACAAAGTTGATAAGCTGTCCCCTAGACGACTGGCCCTTCATTCATCCACCAACCAGGTAAAGCTGTGTCCTATGGGAATATACCATTAAGACATTGCATGTTGTGCAGAATGGCAATGGTATACCATATATGGGCTCCATACACCCTTTATGAAGACACTGTCCTGACTCTGCAACAATGTTGATGTCTGGATGAAGATGTATTGAGCAATATGACTTACCTAAACAATACACTCAAAAGAAATCTGTCATATCCCACAATCCAGACCCACATTCCATCATATTCCCACGCCTTCCAAGCCTACATCTGGACCCCACTTCATATCCAGCTCATTCCCAGATCCCCTTCCGCTGTGCTCCACACCTCAGCAGGATCGACTACACTCTGGATTTACCCCTGAGCTCCGGACCATTGGATCTCCACTGCTAGCCTGATACATACCCCCCTGTCCCATCCATCCTATGCACACTCCATCCAGCAAGACATCCAGACTTCACCTCATCTCAGATTCCAGACTATATCCACCTTCTCATATTCCAGTCCTGTATCCACCTTGTCTTCCAGATCCCCAGATCTCCAGACCTCTGGATATTAATGCTGGACCTATTCCCACCCTCTGTCTGAGATCCTGCACCTATCCCCATTTAGGCATCTCTACCTTTCCAGCTTTCAGTTACCTCTTCTTCTGTCTTGCTTATTGATCCTTATATGAGTCTTCATCTCCAAGTTCATTTACTTATGTTCCATCTTACTTACTAATGTGTTTCCGCATGCTCATACATAGCCCTGCTCCTTTGCTTACTGATCCCCTCAGATATTCTCCAGTATATAACCCCTGTAGATACTCCTGTAGTTTCCTTAGTTTGAATATCAACTTAGACTTGCCCAATCCTCTCTTGGACTTTGGTCCACCTAAGTCTGTCCTACCCATCAGGCCCAGGGATTGATTCCCTAGGCTGGAGCTCCACCTTTCCAGCACTTACCCTCTTTCCAGACTTAGGTCCAATCCTTGTCTCTCCAACTCTACCTTAGGGTAGTCTACCTCTGTTTGTTTCTACATCAGATGAAGTCCAATGTAGCCCCTATTCCTTCCAGACCTCCTGTCCCTCGTACCTCCAGGCATCCTGTCCTTCAGATGTTCCATCCTCCTAACCCTTGGACATCCTATCCTCCTGTCCTTCTGTCCTCCATCATCCTGTCCTCCTGTCCTCCCACCCTCCTGTCCTCCAGTTCTCCAGACCTTTGGACCTCCTATCCTTCCATCCTATTTCCTGTAGAAGTATTACCTTGCAGTGGGAACTCTCCTGAGCACTCTGCATCCCGAACTCCCACTCCTCCAGAAGTCCTCTAGCACTCCACCAGAGTAGCCAGCTTCCGGAAGTCTCCTGGACTTCATCAGACCATCATTGGACCTCATCTGAAATGAAGGGCCCATACTCAGATAAGGGGCACAGTGTATGAGCTGAGGCCAAGCCCCTCTGAGTCAGTCTCTCTCCCCTTGAGCAACATGGTTCTTAACACCACCATGATGGGTGTACTTTGACCCCATGCTGAGTGCTTAGCCTGAAGTTTATGTGTAAGTTTGTTAATGGTTTTTTTTGTTGATAAACAACTCACCATTGAGATGTAGCCAGTTCTCCTGTTTGGCTATGGAAGTGAAGTACACCATAGGCAAGCAATCAATATCATTACCAGCATCTTCACTACATTATGGTTGGGTTTGAAATTCTCAATCATTAGAATCAAGAAAGAAGAACCTAGTGACAATGGTGTGGACATTTTAATTTTCAGTGAGATGATGGCTGAACACCTTATAGGTCGCCCTTTAGGCTGGTCATCCCAGTGCCATTGAGTTCCTGACATTATGCCACAATCATGGTGGCTTTAGTCATATTGTCCCCTTCTGGCTGTTTCATTGCAGAGCCTTTAAGAGTTCCTGGCCATAAGTAGAAAATGCTTGTCAAGCCATCCTCTTGACTCCCTACTAGGATTCTTCATCCCATCAGTAGCACAAGACTTGCTCCAGTCATTACTTCACATCAATGTCTGTGTCCAATTTCACTTGTGTATGCAAGCAAACTTTTATGACCCAGAATCACTATAGCCAACACCAGCATTCATGTACCCAAACCAAAAAGTGTCTGTCATTGGCATTGTCATCTTTCAAAGATTGCATCACTCAAAAAAAAAGCCATGTATCTCACTCACTCCCAATGAACCTTCTGTGGCCATTGCATTGCCCAATGCAATGTCAGCTTGTCCCACCAATGGCAGCCTTGGTGGTGAAGCCCCCACATCACCATTGCCTTCATGGCTTGAAGATTCTATGGATGTCCTTTGCCATAGTAACTTTGAAGGAGGGGATGGTGATGAAGAGGACATGAGTCTAGCACAGCAGAGACCCAGACGTCAGAACTGGCAGCTGCTACAGAGATTCAGAGACATGCTCCCTCAGGCCCCACCTACTGTTCCTGTGAAAGTTTGTGATCTACTTCCGCAATCTGTTGGATCCATTATTAGTTCAGAAGATTGCCCAGGCTTACCAGCATGCCCAGTTTTCTACACTCCTGTGAACATCTTCGGGCTAGTGCATCAATATTTTGCACTATGCCCCCATCCCACAATCCAGAAGAGTACATGACCATAGCTGACCTCTCATTCATTCCTGAGGCCTCCCAGGAACTGTCTGCTATGAGCAATATTTCCCTCTATCATCCCTACCCCAATCATTCTTCCTTCCAGCTTGGTGGTTGGTATTGGAACCAGGGACTTCAGAAGTCTCAAGCAGAATATGCAAAACTATTAGACATAATGAGTCCCAGTACTTTCAGCACTTCCAATGTGACATCCACACATTGGAAGAGCATCAATTCCACACTGGGGGTGAATGAATACAATGAAGAAGACAGCAAAAAATGACAAGATGAAGACACAGGATGGAAAAGAATGCCAGTCTCCATCAAAGTGCCTTTTTCCCACACAATGAAAACACCAGGGCCCCAGATGTATCAAGCAGCCCATCTATATCATCATTTGCTAGTGGCTGTTTTGCAAGAGAAGCTCTCAAATTGTTGTAATGATAAATTGTTTCATTACGAGCTATATCAGCTGCATTGGGCTCCCTCACATTTAGATGCAGAAGTCTCCATACAGGGTGATCTGTATACATTGCCAGTTTTTCATGAAGCTCACACAGAGCTGCAAGAGTCCCCTAGGGAGCCTGGTTGTGATTTGCCCCAAGCTGTGGCTGGTATTATGTTTTGGTCAGATGTCACACAACTCATGTTGTTCAGCAATGCAAAACTATGGCCTACCTATATGTATTTTGGCAATGAGTCCAAGTATCAATGCTGTAAGCCATCATGCAATCTGAGCAATCACATTGCATACTTTGAGATGGTATGTTGCATACTTCAAGATGGTACATTTTGCTCAACTTTTGTGTCTTACATCATGCTTACCACTGCTTAGCTTCTGGACTCATTCAAAGACTTCACAGGTGGGAAGGGGATGACTAGTGAATGTGCAACTCACTGCCACAGTGAATTTTTTCACGCACAGTGGAGGATTCTGCTGGATGATGAGTTCCTTGAGGCATATAAGCATAGCATTGTAATTTGTTGTTGTGATGGCATCAAGTGCAGATTCTACCCAAGGATCTTCACTTACTCTGCAAATTACCCAGAAAAGTATGTGAACTCCTATTTGTTACTAAACACTATTGATATGATTTCTCCAGGGTGCTTATAGCAACAGTTCAAAACCTAGGAGGATGTCCATGTCCTTGATGTCTGATACCAAAACATCAGATTCAGAATATGGGTAAGCCTCAAGATCATCAACAGTGTGAGACTCTGGCTCATGATGATGACAGAAGATGAAATATCATGAGTACCGCACATGAACTGATTTACAACAAGAACTTTGCAGTTGGCAGCATGCCAGTTGAACACATCCTTAAGCCACATTCATGGGTGCCTACTTTGGTGAGGCTTGAATCATTTCCATAACAGTCCATGGCTAATTACTCCTCAGAACACGTTCTCAGATCGCCTTGGTCCCTTGGGGTTCAACATTTTCTGGGTACTCATGGTCAATCTTTTACATGAGTTTGAGATTGGTGTCTGGAAGTCCCTCTTTATTCACTTGTTGTGCATCATTTTGGCACATGATAAGTCTCTTATCCATAAATTAGACAAGAGGTGTGTATGTATCATTGTAGTGGTGCTTCATATATCTAAGTTATACCATCAGATACAGACAAACTCCAACATTTGGCCAAGCAACCATTCAAAAATTTTCTGCCAACTCATCAGAGATGAAATGGATGGCAGCTCACAATTTCAAAGACTTGCTCCAGGTATGAATTCATCATCATTGGTGAAGTGCAGTATCTGATGTGATGTGCAGTGTTCTATCCCTGTCTTTGATGGTCTTCTTCCTGAACCACACAACACAATCATGCTCAAGCTGCTATTTACAATGGTACATTGGCACAGTCTAGCTAAACTTCGAATGTATTCCGATCTGACCCTTGACATCATGGACCTCATAACTTCAGCAGTTGGTCAACAGTTCCAGGAATTCAAAGCAAAGGTTTGTGTCATTTACACTACCTGCAAACTTCATTGGGAGGTTGAGGCTCACACATGACACCATGCAAGGCAAGCATCCAAACAAAACAGTGTGTGCAAGGGCAAGCAAGGGGATCTAAGTCATGGGCAGTGCACAAAAGTTTTTGACTTCCAAACCTACAAATTCCATGCTTTAGGGGATTATGTGTCTATAATTTGGCAGCATGGCACGTCTGACTCATACAGCAGTGAACCAGTCCATCCCTGCCACTTGTGTAAGAACATAACTAACTACTTAGTACCCAGGGTGAACTTGAACACTGGTCACCTAAGGCCAGTTATCACCACACAGATTACAAGCTATTTGTGAGACAGCTGACTTGGATTGAATGCTGCTAAGCTCACATTTGTTGTGTGGGTGACAGGATTGTTCATCAACCCCATATCAAAATCACAGAGTTAGCAAGAAGCATGGATGTTCATCATCATATAGGCCTGACACAAAAGCACCCTATACATATAGGATCATACTTGCACCTTCATAAGGGCAATCCAGCTATTAAGGTCAGTCTCATCATGATTATGCAAATGCCCTTACACCTGCTCCTGCAGAATTTCATGTCAAAACTCAAGCTTCATTTGCTATGTTGAATCATGATGTCAAAAAATGTCTCAGGGTCAGATCAAGACACTAATTCAATCATAATCAAAGATGACCAAATGTATCATCATAACACCACCAGGTTTAAGTATACCACCTATGATGTTCGTTGAACCCAAGACATCATAAACCCACAAACTTCCCACTATAACATCATGGTCCTCCATGTGGAAAACAATGTAGGACCCCAAGGTCACAGGTTTATTTACAGCAAGGTACTGGATATTTATCATACTAATGTAATTTTCATTGAAGTCAGTATGGTTGACTATACACCAATTCAAATGGAGTTTCTATGTGTTTGGTGGTATGAACCCATAGATCAAGTCTCTACCTGGGAGACCTTAACCATGGATCATGTTAGATTTCTGTCTATGGCTGATGAGCACTCATTAGACTTTCTGGATCCAACTGATATCCTTAGGAGTTGTCATATCATTCCTTCTTTTGCTCATAAGAGGAGATGGCCTGATGGATCAGGTATCTCAGCATGCACAGGAGATAAGGATGATTGGTGCATGTACTACATTAATCAGTGAGCAATGCTACCACTTCACACATGACTTGTATTTAGTTCATAATTTTAGGTTTGTGGAGCACAATATGCTAATGTGGTTCCACTTCAGTCTTGGAGTGGGGCATACTTACTTGCACTACCATACCTCACAAGCTGAATCTCAGGATGAATGCCTTGCAGGCTTCAAACATAATGTTCAGGATTTTGGAGATGACGAGACAGTTGAAAGCCATGATGAAGATGAAGAGAAGGATGATTCTGATTGTGAACAAGATGGCAAGGTCCCTGAGCAACAGTTTGGCTCCAGCAGTGAATCACTGTTATCTGAGTTTCATGAGATGTACAATAGTGACTTAGAACTAGATTATGAAAACTAACATTTCAGAGTCACATTGCATTGGTAGAAGATGGGAACTTGATGGTGTGGCCAACAAGGTAGTATTGTACCACCCCAATGGCACATGTAATAAGGGTAGCAACTTCTCAGTGACACTGTCATTGTCATATCTGCATATCTGGATCTCAGATCTGAGCCACATCTTATCTCCAATCCTATTCACATCTTATCCCCCTCCAACATCTCATCATCCAATCCGCCCACTCATCTGTTCTGGTCCACAATTTATCCAAATCCACAACTAGCACTCATCTCCTTTTGGTAATCCCCTAACTCTGGTATTTCAGTTATCTGTATATCTGTCCTGCTCACTGATCTGTTACCTATGCTTCATTTCTGTTTCATTATTTGTGATCCATTTCTACTTACCAATAGACTATCCATATGCTTCATACATAGCCTTGGACCCTGCTGATTGATCATTCCATTAGATACCTATAGTATATACAGTGGCTCAAAAAACTGTCCACATGTTTTGACATTTTTTACTATCTATGATATTGTGTGAGAACGAACAAATGCCTCAAGGACATGCTTATACCACATTGTAGTATGGCTTCAGGGCTTTCATTTGAACCCTACACCGTGGAAAATCTGTGGAGATATGGTGGAGACATAAGGCTTACAAAATCATGACTCATGTGGACAGTTTTTTGAGCACATATTAAAACTATATAAATCATCATTTATGACACCATAACAATCATGCCACCATTAAATAAATTATAAAGTGGTGTCATTATGTCATTTTAAAACCATATCTAACTATACAAACCAAAAATTTCCATATGTCATGGTTATATTCACCATGAAAGCCACTCCCCCTGCTCAAAGGGATAATATCCTCTCTCTTTCCTATTCTGGCCTCTCTGCTTGTCAAATTTCCTCTAGAACTGGAGTATCCAAGTCCACTGTGGCCAAGTTCATCAAAGAAAGTCACACAGACAAGGAAAACTTCTGTGAAGGGCATCCATCCAAGCTCACCTCTACTGATAGGAGGGCTATTATTCAACATATCACTACAGGAAAGGCTGATAATGCTGTCCAGGTCACCTATTACATCAATTCCACCATCACATTCCCTGTCTCTTCACACACTGTGAGAAACATTCTCAAGATAGCTCATCTCAGGTCAGTAACAAGGAAGAAAAGGCTCTCCTCTCTATCACACATAGCAGAGAGGACTAGCACCCTTCTTTTTCACATATATACCTTGCCATCTGACCCAATCCTATTTATTGTGGTCTTATATGATCATATAACATGCTTCCAGTCCATGTAATCCAATTCTGATGGGCTAATGCAAAGGTTAGTCATCTCTGTTTATGTGTGATAGAGAGGAGAGCCTTTTCTTCCTTGTTACTGACCTGAGATGAGCTATCTTGAGAATGTTTCTCACAGTGTGTGAAGAGACAGGGAATGTGATGGTGGAATTGATGTAATAGGTGACCTGGACAGCATTATCAGCCTTTCCTGTAGTGATATGTTGAATAATAGCCCTCCTATCAGTAGAGGTGAGCTTGGATGGATGCCCTTCACAGAAGTTTTCCTTGTCTGTGTGACTTTCTTTGATGAACTTGGCCACAGTGGACTTGGATACTCCAGTTCTAGAGGAAATTTGACAAGCAGAGAGGCCAGAATAGGAAAGAGAGAGGATATTATCCCTTTGAGCAGGGGGAGTGGCTTTCATGGTGAATATAACCATGACATATGGAAATTTTTGGTTTGTATAGTTAGATATGGTTTTAAAATGACATAATGACACCACTTTATAATTTATTTAATGGTGGCATGATTGTTATGGTGTCATAAATGATGATTTATATAGTTTTAATATGTGCTCAAAAAACTGTCCACATGAGTCATGATTTTGTAAGCCTTGTATCTCCACCATATCTTCTCTGATTCTCACAATGTGGTGCTCAATCCAAAGCCCTGAAGCAGCACTACAATATGGTATTAGCATGTCACTGAGGTCTTTATGTATTCTCACACAATATTGTAAATAGTAAAAAATGCAAAAACATGTGGACAGTTTTTTGAGCCACTGTATAACCTCCTGTAACTCTCTGTAGTACCTCAGTTCAAATATCATCTTAGTTCTACTCATTCCTGTCCTCTGGACTTGAGTATCTCTACTCTCGTTACCCTTTGAGACTTAGGATTGATTCCTATAGTCTATCCATATCCACCTCTGTCTCTGACAGTCTATTACCGTTAGTTTCTAGTCTGGACTCATCCAGATTAGCCCTACAATACTTATCCCTCATCCAGAAGTCATCCAGATCTGCTGCACTACTTGTCTGACCTTCTGGACACATTAGTCTTGCCTTCCTGAAATAAGAGGCAATACTTGGGTAAGAGGCACAGTGCACGAGCTGAGGCCAAAGCCCTTCAGATCCAGTTATCCCTTGAGTATGACCTTAACAGGTGCCAAAGCATCTGGAATGATCATTTTGTGGGGCCCATGCAAAATGCATACAGCACACACCTTCCAATCCTTCAAACAAGACATTCAACTGCAAAGGTCTTGCCATGTCAACTAACAATACTTCCTGTTGCAAAGTTTGAATGGAAATTCAAAAACCAGGCCCAGACTGCTCTGCACAAGAAGATTGCAGATGAAGCAGGTTATGAGGCACTTCTTGATGCCATCAATGCAAAGTGAGCAGCCAAGAATATTGTTGTATGGCTATACACTCCAAAACCTGCCAAGGATGAACAAGTAAGTATTTTTCTGTCCAAACTTCAAGTTCTTCAGGCTAACATCTGTGTAATCCAAGGATTGGGATATGGGTGATCCAGACTATGTTGAGCATCCATTCAACTTTGATGAAGAAGCAGCTGGTACTCACACTACAAAAGGACTGATTGTACATATTTTTTTTCATGACACATTTCACTCACCTCTGACAAATATTCAAAAAGGATGACATGTCTACTAAATGAAGGAAGGCTGAGGCCAAAATCAAATCACTGTATCCAGTTGGCAGATACCCACTTTTTCCACACTTATGTGTTTGGCATGATGAGAGGATGAGCTCATATTTTGAGCTGACTAATATATGTATGAAGGTTTGGGCAAATTCAATTGTAAGTATCTTTCTTTTTGCCAGTGCATGATGCTGAAAATGTTGTTATGACAATCTAGGCAGCAGGAAGAGCTGACATATTAGCACCTCCAACCACACAGCATTTCATAGACAAACTCAAGGTGCCATGTCCCCCACCTGATGCACCTTGTTCAACATTTGGTAAATTCCATTGTCAGCATCAACAGGAGCAGGCCCTCGAAGGCCAGGAACTAGCTCCTCCACCTCCACTCCCTAGGCACATCATTCATCCACCTCTGAATCTATATGGTCCTCCTGTGCCTCTGCATCCACATGGTCCTCCATTTCCAGGGTCTCATATCCCTGGTTCTACTATGCATCAGTTGTTTCATCCAGCTTAATATATGCACTTGCCATACATTGGTGGATATCCCTATGTGTTAAGAACTGGTTTGCTCAAAGCAGAGAGACTGACTCAGAGGGGCTTGGCCTCAGCTCATACACTGTGCCCCTTACCTGAGTATGTGCCCTTCATTTCAGATGAGGTCTAATGATGGTCCAACAAAGTCCAAAGGACTTCCAGAGGCTGGCTACTCTGGTGGAGTGCTAGAGGACTCCTGGAGGAGTGTGGGAAACATCTGGAGGAGCACAGGAGAGTTCTCATTACAAAGTAATACTTCTATAGGAAACAGGATAGAAGGATAGGAGATCCGGAAGACAGGAGGACAGGAGGTCTGGAGGACTGGAGGATGGAGGACAGAAGGACAGGATGTATGGAGGTATGGAGGACAGGATGTCTGAAGGACAGGAGGATAGCACATCTGAGGGTTAGGAGGACAGGACATCTGAAGGTATAGAGGTATGGAGAGTGGGACATCTGAAGGACAGGACACCCAGAGGTCTGGAAGGAATAGGGGCTACATTAGACAGAGTCCAATATAGAAACAAACAAAGGTAGACTACCCTAAGGTAGAGTCAGAGAGACTGAGATTGGACCTAAGTCTGGAAAGAGGGTAAGTGCCAGAAAGGCAAAGCTCCAGCCTAGGGAATCAATCCCTAGACCTGATGGATAGGATAGAACTTTAGGAGGACCAAAGTCCAAGAGAGGATTAGGCAAGTCTAAGGTGATAGAGCAAAGTCTAAGATGATATTCAAACTGAGGAAACTACAGGAGTATCTATAGGGGTTATATACTGGAGAATATCTGAGGGGATTAGTAAGCAAAGGAGCAAGGCTATGTACAAGCATGTGGAAACACATCAGTAAGTAAGATGAAACATAAGTAAATGAACTAGGAGATGAAGACTTGTACAAGGATTAATAAGCAAGATGGAACAAGAGGTAACTGAAAGCCAGAAAGATGGAGATGTCTAAATGGGGATAGGTACAGGATATCAGACAGAGGGCAGGAATACATCCAGATATAGTTATGGTTGATATCCAGAGATCTGAGGATCTGGAAGGTGAGGTGGATACAGAACTGGGATATGATAAGGTGGATATAGTCCTGAATCTGAGATGAGGTGAAGTTCAGATGTCTTGCTGGATGGAGTGTGCATAGGGTGGACAGGATAGGGTGGTACAGATCAGGCTAGCAGTAAGGATCCAGAGGTCCAGAGCTCAGGGGTAAATCTGGAGTGAAGTTGATCCTGCTGAGGTGTGGGGTACACAGTGGAAGGGGATCTGGGAATGAGTCAGATATGGGGTCTGGACATAGGCTCAGAAGGTGTGGGAATATTATGGAATGTGGGTCTGGATTGTGGGATATGGCACTATGGGCCATTGCCCTATTGTCCAGCTATGCAGGGTCACACACAACCCCAAGCAGCAATTGTTTCATGTACTGGCAAGGTACCTTCAGCATATTCATCTCCCAGTATGACAACTTCTCACACTGTATCCCTGTCCAAGTTCTGCACCAAGTATC